CCCCCAGCTTGTTTTTTAAGAGGAAAATGTACAGGTCACTTCCATTTGCTATAATCAATCTCAACCTTACGGTTTCCGATGCTCTAGTCAGAGGGGGTGTGTTAGCTGCAAACTCAAAGCAAGGTACAGTCACGGGCTGGACCTTCTGCAGATGGACTGGCAGCCATGCTAACGGTGCGGGCCACTGCACAGGTCTTAATGGTTCTAAGGAATGGAACTGTTTCACGGGAAACATTCGCCTTTTGCTATATGTCCCTACTTTAGGTTTTCTGACTGAAGAACAGAGACCCACAGCCAACACACTGGGCAGGCACAGCAGGAAGGGCCCAGGGGGTGGCTGCGGAAGAGTTTCCTCCTGGGCCCAGCCCCAGCCCCAGTGAGAAACCCAACAAGGCCAGCATTGTCACTCTAACCACCCTACATGACTACTGACCTGTGCCGCCCATTCATCTCCAAGCCCACGACTGGGCAAATGAAGCGAGCCCGCTGGAGGTCATCGTGCTTGTCGCCCTTTGTGTTTCCTCTGTCCCCTTCCCAGGCAGGATTATCAGAAAGCTTCAGTTCTGTCACGCTCTGTGGAAAACCAACAACATGCCAACAATTCATTCAGCAAATGCATCGCTCTTTGCCTCAATAACCACCCAAATCAGGGGCTGGTGAGATGGCTCAGTGGTCTAAAGCACCTACTTAGAACAAGCTTAGCAAAGCACAGGGACCGCAGTTCAATCCCCCAACACCACATGCCAGCCAGCCCCGCCCCCAGATGGGCTGAGCTGGACACACACACACACACACACACACACATAAATAAATAAAATAAAATGAAAAAAAAAAAATAACCACCCAAATCAAAAAAACAGAAATCAGGTTTTTATACCCTTCCCAGCGGATCCTTTTTCCTGACCACCTGGCCTTGGCCATCAACAAATCTGAGGATAAAATGAAACCTCCAACTGTGTAGAAAATATTTGAAAAGCCCAGACTAGCAAGCACAGATACCCTTCAACTCATTCCAGTCGTATCCGGCAGGCCCATGATAAGAGGAAGGGAGGGAAACTATGCTCCTGCGTCTCAGCCTAGGTGCACGGAGCGCGGACAGCACTGGCTGTGTCTTTGGGGCCACGGGGCAGACCAGGGGCTGCGGCCCGATGCCACTCATGCCACCACCCTGAATCTCCAGCAGTTGGAAAGGGTCCAAATCCAAGCAGAAGTACGACCACTACTGAATGTGTATCAGTTCTGTACTAGCATGACAGCAAAAACGTTTTAAAGTTGAGCCATCATACCTGGAACCATCTATAATTCAGGTAAACCTATCTTACAGATATTTTGTCATTTAGGTTGTAACAGCTCAGTGGTAGAGCACGTGTGCGGCAGGCTCAGGGCCTGGGGGTGATCCGCACCACCAAGAACCAACCAACCCAGCACTTGGAGAACACTTAGGAGCTCCTTCCCTCCCTGCTGTTGGCGCCTCCCCGAGCTGCTCGTCTGCTACCATGTGGACAGCACTGCTGCAGTTCAGCAGCCCGCTTACCTTCATGCTTTTGATGTGAGACGCTGCCTTCCCCAGTGCTTTCTCGGCAGATTTGTCCAGCAGAAACTCGATGACAGCATCTTTGTTATAAAGTCTGCGGGAATGAGGAGTGGGCGCATCACAGGGCCGCGAGCACTTCCACACACCAAGAGGACAGGCAGCCCGAAGGCGACACAGCGCTCACGCACAGCGTACACACCATGCCCTGGGCCCTGAAAGCCCTCCGCCCCAGCCCCCACTCAGGTACCATCAGGGCACACGAGGAGAGCAACTCAAACTGGGGCAGCGAGCGAGCTGGCAGTCGAGGATTGTTTTTAGCAGTACTGGAAATCAAACTCAGGACCTTGCACTTGCCAGGCGGGTGCTTATGCCACTGAGGTTACTCCCCGGCCCTGGCAGTCTAAGATTGAGGTAGCCTGAACAAGGATTCTAAAAACCTGGAAATTTACTGTAAAAGCTCCCATTTTCAAATGTCTGCAGAAATAAACCAGAAGATAGAATCAGAGGCCCAGGCTCTGGAACTGCAAGAACTGGCTGGCGCCGAGCAGCAGCCACCCTCACCGGGACGGGAGTCCCTTCCTCCTCCTCCCTGCCCGACAGGACCCCTCCACGCTTCAGGGCTGTAACCCAGCCCGAGTTCTCCTCTTTACAACAGCACTGATTTAGCACGTTTGTGAACAGAGAGCACCCTTCACCCCGGCCGCTGGTGCAGACGCAACTTCTGACCCCCCTCCTGTGGCCCTGAGTTTTCAAGCCACAGGTGAAAGAAGCCAACTTGCTTAGAATATAGAATTACATTCAGAGAGGAGGAATACGACCCTAGGCCTCACAGACTGGCTTGGAGCAGTTCCTATTTGAGGACGCAAGAGCTGTATTCTCACGCTAGAACTCTCTTCAAACTCCGGAATAAGCTCACGCAGACGAAGCAGAGCCGCACCTGCCAAGCTCACAGGCCACTATTGGGCGCTTCAGAATTTCCTGGCTGAGTGTGCAGTAGTTCCACTGGGCCACCAGTTCCGCATCTTTGTCAACCTAGTGAAGAAAGCAGAAAGCTCTTTCACTTAATCACACCTCTGAAAGTCATGTGGGCCCCAGAGTTTGTACAGAGAAGTTTATTTAATACTGACCAGTGATGTTTTTAAGTCTTTTTTTTTTTTTTTGTCTTTTTTAAGACAGGGTCTCGCTATACAGTTCAGGCTGGCCTTGAGCTCACACTGTAGCCCAGGCTGGTCTCAAACTCACAATCATCCTGCCTCAGCCTCCGCAGTGCTGGGATTACAAGCGTGCACCACCATGCCCAGCCTGTTTTTAGATCAAAGATGATGGATTCACTAGATGTTGGAAATTTATTAAAAGACCTGAGTAACTAATACCATGCCAAACAAAGGTGCATCTTAAGACAATACTATCGCATCACAAAACCACTTATGCAAGCTATGTACAAATAATAACAGCACACTCAGAAGACCACACCCAAGCAAAGCAGTACAGATTAACTTCTAATAATAGGAAAGGCTCTCATGCTATGGCAGAATTTAGATTACAAACTGAACAGATCGTTTGCTTTTAAAATTCAGAACAAAGGCTATGTGATTCTTTGGGGGGGGGATTAGGAATCCAACTCAGGACCTTATACTTGTCAGGCAGGCACTGGGCCTCTGAGGCAAGTCCCTGGCCCCTAAGGCTGTGCAATGTTTCACAAAATCACCAATTCAATCCAACAGCAGTCATGGTTTCTGCTTCTCTTCCCAGCATCCTATCACACCCTTGGCCCCATTGTGGCTTGAACATCCCAGCAAAATTTGCACTGAAGTCCCTGGTGAGAGGCACTGGGTAGTGGGACCAGGTAGGACCTTCGGGAGAGCTTAGGTCCTGATGGCGCAGGTATATTTAATCTGCCCAGATCTGTGAGCTGATTCTGGTGAGTGGACTGCCCTAAATGGAGTCTGTGCCAAGGCTGGCTTGGCTTTCTCAGGTGCAGGCCTCTCACCAGGTGCCGCCCATCAGTCTGCAGTATGCAGCAAGAAGGCCCTCACCGTCGCCAGGTGTGGCACTGCACACCCAGGATCCCAGAGCTCTGGGAGGCTGAGGCAAGAGGACGGAAGAGCCCCCGTTCTGGGCACCTCAGCAATTCACGGAGACCCTGTCTCAAAATAAGAACTAAAACAGGCTGGCACCAGGCCTTTGGGAGCTGAGGCAGGAAGATTACAAATCTGAGCCCAGCCTGGGTAATTTAGCAAGAGCCCTCATCTGAAAGGAGAATAGAGGCTGGGCGTGATGGTGCACGCCTGTAATCCCAGCACTTGGGAGGTGAGGCAGGAGGATCGCTGTGAGTTCAAGGCCAGCTGGGCTACATAGTCCACCCCTCAAAAAAATAAACAAATAAAGGCTGAAGATATTGCCCTATGATATGGCCCTGGGTTTAACCTCAATTCCACAAAAAAAAAAAAAAAAAAAGAATTTTAAATATTTAAAAATGAAAAGGGCTGGGGATGTAGCTCAGAGTAAAGATCCTGGTTTCACTCTCCAAACTCTCACCAGATTTGGATGTTGACACTGGACCCTTCAGCCCCTAAAATGTAAGAAATAACTATCTGTGTGAATTATTCACTCTCAAGTATCCTGTTACAGCTACAAAACAATGTGCCAAAGTGCCCATAAGGCGGAAATGCAGGCGTGACACCCTCCGCAGCTCTGGGACGGCACTCCCCGTGCAGAGTCACACGTCCCACTCCTTGCTCGTACAGCACCAAGCAAAGGCTCGAACAGTGCGAAACATTCGAGAGAAAGCAGGAAAAGGACAAGAAAAAGAAGACTTCCGATCAACGTGTTTGCAGCCACAGCTACTTACTGCCTTTGATGGGTCAGGAACAGCATTAAACAGTCGGGGGCGAAGGCCTGACGCCCTGAACCACAAGCACCTGGAGTTAGTACTTTTGGGGGGCTAAAGCCTAATGCTCTGAACCACAAGCACCTGGAGTTAGTACTTTTGGGGGGCTAAAGCCTAATGCTCTGAACCACAAGCACCTGGAGTTAGTACTTTTGGAGGGCGATACCCTGAACCACAAGCACCCTAGGAGTTAGTACTTTTGCCATTGGAGATGAGGAATTTGAAACAGCAAGAAGTTCAGTTCCGTCCCAAAGAAACACAGCAAGTACATGAAGGATCTAGGGTACGAACACAGGCGACCGGCTCTAGCCCCAGCCCCAGCCCCCTATTCTTTTTTTTTCCTGAGACAGAGTCCTTCTGTGTAGCTCAAGCTGGCCCTGCTCAGCAGGCCACCAGGCCGGCCCTGAACTCCTGGCGAGCCGCCTGCCTAAGAGATCACATGCCCACCCTGAGGTTTGAGCATCTGATAGAGTGCCTCACAGAACACAAGCATCTACCTACTGCTCACTCACTGCCAGTGTACTTCAAATGAGTCAAATGCCAACGAGGTAGAGGTATCTGGGAGGAGGACTGAAAGGGCCTCAAGCACAGGAGCCACACGCATGTGGGCAACCTCAAAGCTCCCAACAGCCCGGCGAGGGCTGCTTGCGAAGGCTTCTACGTGCCGCGCGTGCACGACTGTTATTAGTTCTGTTCAGCTTCCCTCTCCTTCTGAAGTACGGGGCAGTGATGCTGAAATTGACAAGTCTTTCTGGTGACAGCCCCAGCTGGGGCCCATGAAATCACCCAGGAAATTCCAAGGGGTTGAGGAACCAGATCTGGGTCAGGAACAAGACACAGATATACAGAGAGAGACTTTGTATGTGTAACAGACACACAATCCTTATTCACAATCCGGATGTGAAATGCAAGCTCTAAGGGAGAGGCCCTTTTGTTCTCTGTTGCATCCCAAGGGTCTAAAGCAACGCACACCACAGCATCACTTTCTGAATGAGGCCAGTAGAAGCCATCCTGCCTAGCACTTCGGTTGTTTGGGATCTCCATTTCTTTCTTTCTCTCCCCTTCTCACATCTGTTTCTTGCAAGCCTTTCAGTCCTGGACGCAAGATAACAAAAGTGAGCTGTATACTTTTTTTTTTTCCTTTTGGCAAAAGCTCTTATAAGTGTTGGATCGCCAGCATTATCCTGTACATGTGTAGGTATATCAGAGGGCACACTTCACCCTCTTGGACAGTCATTCATGCCTTGTTTCGAGATGGGGTTTCACTATGTAGCTCAGGCTGCCCTTGAACTTGAAGTGATCCTCCTGCCTCAGCTTCTCGAGTGCTGGGATTGCAGGTATTTGCCACCATGCCTGACTCATTCATTCTCGAATTCAGCACATTTACTGGGTGTTGATTATGCAGCAGACATACTAGGAGGCTACAGAGCTAAGCCAATAAGGACCTCGTTCATCATGGGAGAGAGAGGGGCTGGAAAGAAAGAAAAAAGTAAAGGAGCAGAGGAAGATAGGGAGTCACTGCAAGTCAAAGAGTATTTTAGCAGATGACTGTTGTGTAAAGAACTGAATGAGAAAACTAGTATCACTTCAGGTTGATGAAATACTCTGGGCCGGTGAACAAGGCTTGTGCAGCTGGGACAGAATGAAAAAACTGGCCTGAAATAAAAGACAGGCGAGAAAGGTAGGCAAGGACCTGTTTCCACAGGGCTTGATGGGATTGTATTCAGAATGTGACAGGAAGTCACCAGGGTGTTTCAAATAGTGGCACAGGGAATTCACTTTTCTTTCTTTCTTTTTTTTTTTTTTTTTGCGGAACCGGGGATTGAACTCAGACCCTTGCACTTGCCAGGCAAGCACGTGTTCCACTGAGTCATCTCCCCGGCCCCGGGAATTCACTTTTCAAGGAGATTTTCACACTGCTGAATCAGAATATGGCATATCTCTACGCACCAGCACTGTATTGGGTGCTTTGAATGTATTTCATACTATAAAGTCATTACTCTTGCTAACTCTGAAATCTCAAATAATTCCAAATATGGGAATCTTGGCTTTGCTACCTACCAGCCACCTGACTTTGGCCACACAAGTTTACTTCCTTGGATTGCCACTTCTCTGCCATTAGCATGAAAAGTACTATGTACAATTTGCTCCATTACTTGTGAGAATTGGAAATTATTCAGTTTTTTTTTTTTTTTTTTTTGGCGGAACTGGGGATTGAACTCAGGCCCTTGCACTTGCCACGGAAGCGCTTATTCCACTGAGCCATCTCCCTGGTCCCTATTCAGTTCTTTTACTCAAAATATTTACTATGCCAGAAATTCTGCTAGTGCTCAAGGAAAAGCGGTTCTGGCTCCTCCATCAGGAGCTTACATCTGGTGCAGGAGACCAATAAGGATTAATCACGAACAGTGTGCAGGCTGGCAAAATAGTTTATACGACAAAGATCTGAAATGGGAGCCGCTGGGAGGACCTCTGAGGAAGTGAGATTAATTTATACAAAGCTCAATAAGTAGTTGCTATTTTCATCATCGTTACTAATTGTGGTCAGGCTTCAAATCCTGCCTCTGCCACTTAACTAGCTCCTCAATGTAGAGGGTTAACAATTCTGTGCCTTGGGCTGGTGAGATGGCTCAGTGGTCTAAAGCAGCTACTTAGAACAAGCTTAGCAAAGCACAGGGACCTCGGTTCAATCCCCCAGCACCACATGCCAGCCAGCCCCGCCCCCTGGTGGGCCGAGCTGGCCACACACACACACACACACACACACAAATAAATAATAAAAAAATAATAATAAATAAAACCTTTAAAAAACACACACACAAAAAAACCAATTCTGTGCCTTAACTGTGGAAAAATTATTTAAAAACCTTGTGCTTCCTGTTATCTACTCTAAGAAATATATTCTCCCTTTTGGCTCAAGGCTGTTCAACAATAAATAACTGTTTCTTGTCAAGGCAGCAAGCTAACACAAACTCCCTCCCCAAGCATCTCCTGTAACGTAGTCAGCTTAAGATATATTTTATAAAAATATACACTTATCCCTAAGCTGTAAAAGACCTTTTAGTTATAAACAGCTTACAGCTGTGTCAAATGAATGTAGTTTCTGTTGTTCTGTGCTCAGTAACAAATTTGCTTACCAAACTGGATGTGATTTCTGTTATAAATACCCCCCTGCTACCTACATTCGAGGCCGATTAGCCTTCTCCTGCGTGAGAAGTGGCTGACGGACCTGAGTTCAGGAAATAAAAGGTTCTAATTCAAATTTCTATCTGGCTGATCTGGTTCCTAGGCAGAGTCGACCCATAACACTCAACCCGGCTCTGAGCCTCAAATTTCATCTGAAAATGGAGATAAAGGGTACGTAGCCACGGGACTGTTTCTCAAGAATTACACAAATAAAAAAGAATTACACAAATGTCCCTCATTAAGCGAACCACCCAGCCGACGGAAACATTTCCAAGCACTCAGAAAGATGCCAGTTGTCAATATTATTGTTAATTCGGCGTCCTGCGGCCAAGGAAAAGTACGCAGCTACCTATTTCTAGAACTCCTCGGCTCTTTCCCCACCTCCCGTCCCTCGTTGGGGGTGTCCACCCACATGCCCTCCACCTTCGGAACTGCTGACCTTTTCAACCTTCTTCGGCCCCTTCACCAGTTCGTGCCTCTTGGGAATCGTTCCCCCGTCGCAACCCATCGTAGTACCAGAGCCAACACCAATTCGTAAACCTTGAAGCAACCGCTTCCGGGGTGGGTAGTGAAATCTGTAGTTACTTCCGGCGCTCCAATGTCGTCACTTCCGGTGACGAAACTATGGGCGTGGCTCCCCGTCGGGGCTGGGTGTTGCCGTTGCCAAGCGCCGATTGCCACGGAGAGCGTCGCCAGCTGCTGGGCGTGGCGCAGTGTTTCGGACCCAGCACAGTTGCGGGGTCTTCCTGCGCGGGAGTTAAGAGGAACGCGTCAGTCTGCCGCTCACGGCCACGACGCTTCTCTTCTTCCTCTTTCCAGTAGGTTCCCGCTGTACGTTCGGAATCGCTCGCCCACGCTCCGGGAGCGCAGCGTGGGTGGGGATGACTCCGGAGCCCTCTCTGCTCGCCGGCCCCATCCCACCCAAGCCTTGTGCGCACCCAATGAAGCCATCCTTTGTATGCCAGAGTTCTTCCACAGCCCCTTGAATCCCAAGCTAACATAATTTTTACGTGTTAAAAAGCAGATATATGCGCTGAAATGGCGAATGAGACTGGGCATAGTGGCGCGCGTCTGTAATCCCAGCACTTGGGACGCTGTAAACAGGGGAATTACAAGTCCAATCTAGTAGTGAGACCCGGAACACCCTGTAGACCCTTCCCTAAAATACAGAAAAACAGCAGATATAATTAACATTATACAGTACACTGGTTCTTACAAAGAATACTCTGTTAGCTCCAAGCTGTCTCAAAGAGATGTGTTATGTTATCTGTAATGAGAACACAAATCCCTTGCAAAAGCCAGGATTGTGTCTGGCTCCTTTAAGTATTATAAACATCAGGGGAAAGCCCTTCCTCTGCCCATACAACAGACCTTCATGATTGGAAGTTACCGCGTTGAAAGTCGTCCCCTTTTGGCGACAGATGCCCAGAATAATATGTGGATGTGAAAACTTAAAGGCTATGGGTACAGAATATCTGTTACTGTGACTGATAGAAATTGGTTTATGAATTAGTGATAGTCATAATAACCGTAATCCCCCAAGGCTAGAGACTTTATGTTATTCCCTGTTGTACCTTGGTGCCTAGAAAAGTCTGTTTGGTGTACTCCAGGTGTGTTTCCTCACTGCACCAAAAGAAGATACAGGCTCATTTGGAGAGGGGCGATGAGCCCAGTTTGAGCTGACCCTAAAGCTGCGAGAACTGCAGAGCTCTTGGCATGTAAAGACTCCCTCTAAACCCTTGCACCGAGAGGCTTGGCCCAAATCTCTCACAGCTTCTAGCAGCATAAAGCTGTACCCCTGGAATGACCGCACCCTCCATGCAGCGCCTGCTCAGAAAGCTCAAAATGCAATGTCAGCTCTGCTCAGACAGCTCAGGCAGCTGGAGGCCCCTCTTCCTCCTTGGTTTCCTCTTTTAGAATATTGGTCTCCAAGCTACTTTGTGCTTCTGTGACACTATACGGAGATAAAACCTGAGTGCCGCACACTGTTATCATCATAGTAACTCTTTGGGGTTGAGAGCCGGCTGCCATGTCGGTCGTTGTGTGCGCTTCACTGATTTGATCCATCTGATTCTCCCAGCTACCTGGAAAATAGGTGTTGTTCTTGTTGGCTTTCCTCTCCTGCTGCCTTTGTTGATGGAAGCAGTAAAGGAGATTCCCTTACAAGGATCCTTGGGAACAATTTTGTATCTACTGAACTGTGGATTTGAAGAGAAAGAAGCCATAGAAAGGAAAAATCAGGGGCTGGGGAGATAGCTCAGTGGTTTAAGTACCTGCCTCACAAGCTCAAGGACCCAGGTTTGATCTCTGGTACTGCATGCCGAGCTGGCCCCCATACCCCAGGCATGCTGTGCAGGCTAGGGAAACGGGGTGTGGTGGTGCACAACTGTAATCCCAGTACAGGGGAGGCTGAGACAGGAGCATCGCTACATCAGATCTATATAGTGAGCCCCTGTACCAAATTAATTAATTAATTAATGATTTTTTAAAAAATGTTTTAAAAATGAAAAATCAACCTCTAGTAAAACGAGTGTTTCCTTTTCATTTGGCAGTGCTGAGGATCAAACCTAGAGTCTCATGCATGCTAGGCAGGCACTATCCCATTGAGCCACATCCCTAACCTCAAATTGATGTTTCTTAGCCTTTTTGGAGTCCTCAGTTTTGTTTCAGAATTTGATGAAAACTTTAGACTTATTCTCAGAAAACTGGCTAATAGCGTACACAGAATGCTGCGCACAGTTTATACTCATTTGTACTGGATGAAAGGTAGAGTTCTTGCTCAGCAGGCATGGAGCTTTTCACCAAAGAAGGCTTGAATAAAATGTAGTGGGAATTAGGTGATTACTAAGAGAATTCAAGACAAAAATTACTTGTAAGTTTTAGTTTTAGGGAAATAGTCTAAGACTAGACAGGGCTTTTCATAGATTGACCTCTGTACTGTTCTAGGTTCATGATGGTCACTTTTCTTTTTCTTACTGGGCCTCAACCACACAGGGTCCTAACTCTCCGGTCTCCTGCTGTCCCCTCCCTTAAGCGGCATCATCTTTTTCCCCAGGTATTTGCCTAGCTGGTTCTCTCTGGTGACTCCAGCTTTGCTCTAGAGTCTCCGACATAGCTCAGTGGCCTAAAGCCCTGATTAGGCATATTTAGGCAAGCGCAGGGGACCACAGTCCGATCCCTGGCACCACATGCCGTACCATCCCTGCCCTTAGCGCTGGGCAGGGGGAAAAAAAAGTTATTCTAGATCCCCCTCTAAAAGAGTACCCATCCATCAGCCTTGCCTCTTTTTTTTTCTTTTTTTTTTTTTTTTTTTTTTTTTTTGCGGAACCAGGGATTGAACTCAGACCCTTGTGCTTGCCAGAGAAATGCTTATTCTACTGAGCCATCTCCCCAGCCCCAACAGCAACAACTTCTCCCCCTTTTCTTTATCATTTGCATCCCCCCTCATTATATTACACATTTAAGTTTTGATATCTTATTCACTGTGGATGTTTATGTTGATTTTTGGCTCCTTAAAATATTGCTTCAGGGCAGGGGATGGAGCTCAGTGGCTGAGGGCTTGTTCAACATCCCTAAGGCCCTGGGCTTCATTCCCAGCAGTGCAAAAGAAAATCAATGAACCATTTATTTTTGATTACTAAATGTTGTGCAACCCCATTACGTGTGACCTTAGTGGAGGGGCCTTCGGGTGTGTGGCCTGGGTGGGTGTCCATTTCCCTTAGTGGGAACAAAAGCCCATGTCTCCGTTCTGTTGCCTGCAACATCTTTAGCCATCAGCAAAGGCCTAGGACAGGCACAGGGCATACTTTTTCAGGGAATCAGTAAAAGGCAACCAGTATTAGCAGATAGCATCCATGAACCTCAGTATGGGTGAAAACCCAAGGGGGAGCTTTGGGAGTACTGAGAAACAAATAGAAACACTTAAAAAGATGTTTTATAAAACACACGTTGTTACCAAAGCAGCAACATGACTCCCCTGGGCTTGTCATGCTGGAAGATCTCTGAAGCGATCTTCCATCCTGATGAACTTAACTTGAGGTTGAGTTGCTACCGCCGCCTCGACCACCAGATCACCCACCATTTCCGCTTCCTTCCTTGGGAGGAAATGGTACAGTACTCTGTATGTTGAGCCCAGATATTTAACAAAAAATCACCACAGGCTGAAATTATGTGCTTAGTTCTCTTAGAATGTTTTCTCAAGTAATCATCCTATTAAATTAATCAGTGGAAATAGACCACGGTCTTTCAAAAAAGGAAGGAAACACCTTTAGCTGAGAGCAGCGTTTTTCATTGTTTTGTACACAGTGCTTTTGTTGACTGGTCTTTGGTTTGAAGTGATCTCGAAAAGAAAGATGTGTTTGTTAATCAGTAGAGTCTGTCGCTTAGAAAGGACCCTAGATCGGTGCATTAATAGTAATCATTCAATAAACACGTGCTGCTGTTATTGTTCTTGTATAAAATTTGGCAATACAAATATGTTGCTTGCCTCCCTGCCACCATCCCTCTTTCTAGCAATACTTTTTTTGTGTGCCAGGGATCGAACTCAACTCAGGACTTTGTGTTGAACAGGCAGGTGCTTAAGTCACTGAGCTCTGCCCCTGGCCCCCCAGCAGTATTCTTGACTTTTGCTGAAGATGTTTCTCCGTACGCATCTCTCAGTTCCATTCATCTTCTGAGCACAGCTCCTGTCCTTGGTTCTGGACCACCCTGTCCAGGGCATTAGTGGCCAACAGCCTTGGAAGATGTCGCCAGAGCCTCTCTCGAGAGCAGAGGGAGTTTGCTTGCTGTTCAGCACAATGAAGATGCTCTCTTAATTACCTTTATTACCAAGGGCCTATTATTTTGTATTTAGTAAGGGTCTACAGGGTCTCACTGCGTAGATCAGAGTCGTACTGATGTGTTCAACCTTCCAAGAGCTGGGATTACGGGCGCGCTACCACACCCAGTCTCAATCACCATCTCGGCGCGTTCCAGGGGCAGGGCCGGCATGGCACGCTGGGAATCGAACCCAGGGCACTGCGTCTACCTAAGCAGGTGCTTCAATCCGCTGAGCTATTTGGCCAGCCTGGTCCTCCTGTATTTGCTTTTTGTTGCTGAGACCAAACACCTGAGAAAATCATTTTGGAGGCGAAAGCATGGCTGTGGCTTACAGTTTTCGAGGGTTCAGACCGTAGCTGGCCGGCTCCCTCGCTGTGGACCAGAGCGGAGGCAGCGCATCACAGCGGCAGGCCTGGGAGAGAGAAGCTGCTCACTTCCTATGAGCCCAGAGCAGAAGACGGGAGAGAGAGGCCAGGCCAGAGGCGGGACTAGGGACCGAGCACAGTCCCCCCCCACCCCCAACACGCTCAGGGTCCCTGACTCACACCCCCGACTGGGCCTGCTTCCTGTTTCCAGCAGCTCGCAGCAACGCCTCCAATGATGATTGGAGCCCGTGTCATCCAATCACTTCCTGGGAGCCCAGCGTGTGACAGCACCTACCTGATCCCAGACTCCTGGAATGTGGGTAATGGTTTGAAGATGAGAATGCCAAGCTGGCTTGCACTGAATGCTTAGAGTTCAGCTAGGAACTCAGGCAGCTGGTCTGGCTGGCATCCTCAGAACGGTCTATCTCAGAGATTGGCTCTTGGTTGGCCACGAGGAGGTTTGCACCATCAGTAGCCCTTGGCACTGAGGCTCTCCTCAGCTTCTGGGGTGGCCGCATCCCACACGTGCTGCCAGGGCTCGTTGCTGCTGGGTGCCAACTCTGGGAAATGCATGCCGATCCCCACATTTCACCCCAGGCACCTCCTCCCTGTGTGGGTTTTACTTTCTGTCTCAACAAAATAAAGCATAACTGGGAGTCCAAAGCCATTTTGTACCCTATGAGGCCGTCTAGTGACTCCTGGAGCCTGGAGTTACCTTGGGGCCACTGACACAGCACCTGATCCCGGAACCTCGGGTCTCCTCTGGGCATCCATGAAGCATTGCTAGTGTTAGTATGAGGTAGGAAGAAAAGCCTTTTAGGTGCTAGAAGGAGGGGGTGTGGGGACCTTTTGTCTGTGTCCATGTGTCTGTGAGATACCTGATAACTTACTGTACACAGAAAGAAATCTTTCTCCTCTGGCCATGAACCAAGAAGGCCATAATCCAAGGCAGCCGCCCTGCAAGGATCAGAGTTGCCTCCAAGAGTGTGAGACCAAGACACCGCTCCTGTATGTATCACCCTGTTAGAGCCCCTGAAGCCAACCAGATGACCCAGACTACTTTAAGGTAACTCAGTCAGTACATTTCTGCTACTGCTTAGGACAGACTGTAGATGGTTTTCTGTCACTTGGAACAGGATTCTTTTGTTTTAAGTATTTGTTACAGGGTCTCGCTATGCAGCTCGGACTCCTAGTGATCCTCTGTTTTCAGCCTCCGCAGGACTGGAATTATGGGCATGCGCCACTATGCCTGATCTCAATGGCTGGCTCAGGGTATTGGGGGTGGGGCTGGTGCAGCACGCAGTGCTGGGGATCAAACCCCAGTCCCTGCACTTGCCTAAGCAGGTGCTTAGTCCACTGAGCTATCTCGCTGGCCCTTGAGGAACAGGATTCTAACTGATGAACTGCTACTGTTCAAAGAATGTGGCCCTCCAGACTCTCCCTGTCCAGCTGCAGAGAACTAAGGCCCACCATGGTGGGCTTTCTCTTTACAGAGCCTGGAGATTGAATAAAACAGCCAGTCTTTAGCAGTGAGTAACTTAAACGCACCTCCCAAGGGCGCAGGAGCAGACAGGAGCAGCACCTGGTCCCACCACAGGGACCGAGCCTGTGGATGCTGTCTCTTGGGGATGAAGGTGTGTGCCTGAGATGCACATAGGTGACACAGAAAGGATAGTGTAACCATAGCGGCATGAGCAAAAGACTCAGCCTAAAGGGGGAAGGAGTAGGTGGTTTGACTGGGGGGAGCCCGGGGCCGCTGCCACATCTGTACCCAGTGATAAGTATCCTGACCACACCGTGCTTTCCTGTCTGCACCATCACAGATGACAGTACCAGGCGCAGAAGAGCTTCGCCTTTACAGCAGCTCGCTGCAGACTTAGGGTGAAGCCCCGAAGGGCAAAGCAAGCACCAAAGGCTTCACTTAGATACCAGAACTCGGGTGGCAGTGATCAGACTTCCAGAGAGAGGATTGCAGCCAGAGATGCTTCTGTTCATGATTATATTTAAATAACATCATCAACTGTAACTGATCTGCAGCAGCCAGGGTGCCTTTCTCAGGTGAGCAGTGGAATCTATCAACATAGCATCTGTGGTACACAAAATAGGTCAGTAGCGAACCAAACGGAACACGTTACGTCACAACCATAGCAGGCGTCTTTAACCTGGATGCGATAACACAGCAAATACATATGTATACACATATATATTCATGGAAGACACAAGTATAATTTGTATTGATCTCAAGGAACTGATTCAGTCCCAAATGGAAAAAAGTGTGACATTTTCTCATGGAAGTACTGTCAATCTTCTGAAACTAAGAAGTTCCCTTCTGATTTGCACCTTTTCCTCCCTATATATTGCAGACCTCTTTCTTCACCACTTCATCATCTCTGTCCCCACCTAGGCTGTGAGCCGGCATGCCTCTGATACCACTCCAGCTCTTACAGCTTGAGCATAAGTGGCCCTCAAAAAGTGCTGATCCAATGAATGTGAGCCATGCACACATTAGACTCACACGGAAAACGATACCCACGAAGTCGCTTCCAACGCTGACGCTGTACACCTACATGTCATGCCCCGTTTCGTGATGTCCACACTTAACACCTGACTCTCCAATCCCCCCTCGGGGTGGCTCAGCCCCTTGCTACTACAGGCTCTGGGTGCGTGGCTGTCGCTCACATCTGCTTATGCTCCACTAGCTTGTCCCCTGAGACCGGGTTGCACAGGCGGCCCATACAAGCGTTAACCTCGCAGGAAGGAGAAAGGGCTCATTCCAGCGTCCCTCGGAACTGCCTTGTGTGATGCTCCAGCTTCTCGGCTTCGGCCTGGAGCAGCCCCAGGGCCGTGGGGCTCGGGTACTTGAGCACTGCGTTCTTGGTGGCCAGCGCCAGGTCCTTGAGCAGCCCGCACAAGCGGCTGCTGTTGCGCAGGATCTCGTTGCGCGTGTCTCTCTCCTGTGTCTCCCTGCACAGAGTGTCCACCAGCTTCTGGCCCACTGTGATGACCAGCTTGCTCTGCGTGACGAGGACCTCAGGGGTCTGGCTGGCGCCAAGGCTGCTGTGCAGCACGCGGATGGCCTTGAAGAGCGCCCCGAAGTACAACCGGCCATGCTCCGAGAGACAGAGCTTCCTCTCAGGGCCCGGCTTGCCCCGCGCTTGGGTCAGAGAGCTTGCCGTCTAAAGAGGAAGAAAGAAATAGATAAGCAGATCAGTCGGCAAGCTGTGGTTGTCTTCCCTTTCCTGCTTTTGCTCAATTAGCAAGATTTTTGTTTTTAATTAGAGAAAGTTGCATTTATTAAATCAGTGCTGCAACATTTGTCTGACTGACTTGCCCGAAGCACTGGCACACCTCGGCCAGCCACGGGGAACCGCTGCTGGGCGGCGCGCTGGCAATGCCCACGGCGGTGATCTTCGCAAGTGCCAGGAAAGCTGCGGATGTAGCTCAGGGCTGCAGCATGTGCTTAGCGTGTACAAGGCCCCACGTTTGCTCCCCCTGGTAAGCTCAAGACCAGTCTGTACTGCATGGTGAGACAGGCCTCAAAACAAAACAAACAAACAAACAAACAAACAAAAGAAGACAGACCAACAAGTCTGAAAGAAAGAGAACAAAGCAATAAGAGGAGAAAAAGAAACGATGATGAGATTTTTAAAAAAAAATTTACTCATAGAGTAGATTTTAAACTGGGTGTGGTGGCACCTGCCTGTAATCCCAGCACTTGAGAGGCTGAGGCAGGAGGATCAGCACAAGTTTGAGGCCAGCCTGGACTACAGAGTGAGATCCTGTCTCAAGATAAATAAATGAATGAATAAATGAATTTTAAAGCTTTTACAAATTCTTTTTATTTCCAGTAGCCAAGGTATAGCTGATCTCCTGAAGTTCACAGGCCGAATCAAAAAGGCTGACCTAATGGCATCTGTCTTAATGCTGAAATGCTTATCTGCTAATAGGAGTTCAGCAAACTTTTACTTTCATGAAATATACTTCCTGGGAAATAGGATCGCCGGATGTGGTGGCACACTCCTGTAATCCCAGCACCCAGAAGGCTGAGGCAGGAGGACTGCTATGAGCGTGAGGCCAGCCTGGGCTATGTAAGCAAGTTCAAGGCCAGCCCGAACTGCATAGTGAGACCCTGGCTCAGAAAAAAAGAAAAAGAAATAGGGTTAACTTACCCCCAAAAGGCAAAGGTTAGACGCAAGCACTCCAGGTAAAAATTGTCAGCTCCCTTATTGTTGTTGTTGCTATTATTATTATTGTATTTTTAGGGAACAGTCTACAGGGTGTTCAGGGTCTCACTACTAGATCAGACTCATAGTGATCCACCTGTTTACAGCCTCCCAAGAGCTGGGATTACAGGTGCACGCCACCAGGATCAGTCTCAATTGCTGTCTCAGGGAGCCCCAGGGGCAGGGCCGGCATGGCAGGCCCGGGAATCGAACTCCTGGCCCCTGCGCCTGCTTGCAGGTGCTTTAATCTCCCTTGTTATTTCACTCATTTATTTTTGTGGACCTGTGGGACTGATCCCAGCAACACACTGCCACCGAGCCCCATCCCCTGCCATTTTTGAATTTTTCATTTTAAATTTTAGAGGTCTGTGTCATTAAGTTGTCCAAGTTGGGCTCTAACTTGTGATGCTCCTGCCTCAGCCTCCCTCAGTGCTGGGATTTATAGACCTGCTGTTTAGAGGAGAGGCTGCCAGGGAGGTTCAGTTAACAAATTAAAGTTCTAGAACTCAAAGTTAAATACCTAAGGGGCTAAGGAGATTGCTCAGTAGAATAAGTGCTTGCCTGGCAAGTATAAGGGCCTGAGTTCAATCCCTGGTTCCGTAAAAAAAAAAAAAAAAAAAGAAAAAGAAAAAGAAAAAAAAAATTTAGATGCCTAAACCTCAATTCTCCCTGTCTGTCTATCTGTCTGTCTGTCTGTCTCTCTCTCTCGCTCGCTCTCGCTCTCACTCTCTCTCTCTGTCTCTGTCTTTCTCTCTGTCTGTCTCTTGGCAGGGTTTCACTATGCAAATCAGGCTGGTCTTGAACTCACTGTGGAGCCAGGCTGGCCTCAAACTCACAGGGATCTTCCTGCCTCAGCCTCCCGCTTACTG